CCAGGACTTGAACTGCGATGGGAATCCAGCTGTGTAACCATTATGCCATCTGCTGATCCCAACAGAGGATGCTTTAACTTTTAAAATAGGGATAGCTGGGCTCTAGCACACAGGGTTTCTGGGTCCCTAAGTCAGGAGGAGGCTGGAGGACTTTGGTTTCTAAGTTTTTTGTGACTCTGATGCTGCTGGTGAGGGACCACACCCTGATTTTCTCCCCAGCCCCAGGCTTTGGTAGCCTGGATCTCTGAGATCATCCTAGTGCCCTGGAGACAACCATGACTACATCCCAGACCTCCAGGAAGTTTCCGCAGTAGGGGAATGGCCTAATTGGGTTCATCGGATGAAATTTCACATCATGTAACCACAAGGGCACCTGCAGATTCCAGTAAGGACAAGACCAGGACATTAATGAGCTGTCTGGCTGCTAGCATGGAGCCCAGGTAGAATGGGAGGCCTGCTTGCCCCCATCCAGGGGAATTGCCAGGAAGTTTTTCCTTCTCCACAAAGGATTCATATGCAGTGCTGGAAGCTGGGTTAAGGCCAGAGGCAGATGCCAGGCTAGCTGAGGCTCTAGAGATGGGCAAGGTTACTCCCAGATATTTCCTCAGGAAGGACTTTGGAGTAAGAGCGCTTGAGAGCCAGGGGAAGGGCAGTGGGAGAAACAGACAGACCGGAGTCTAAGCCTGAAGGGTTCTGGCAATGTCCTCTAGCAATGCCCTTAACACAGCCACACCCACAGATTGTCATGGGGACTGATTCAGGGGTGAGCTGCGTGGGCTCAGCAGGCACTGTGATGGGTGATACCTCTCATGTGGGTCTTTCTGGAGGGGCCTGGAGACCTCGCAACACTACCACTGCCTGCTTTAAGCAGGACCCTGTCACTGGTGTCAAGACCCATGTTCCGGTCCTTTCTGTTGCTAATAAAAGAAAATACCTGGGCCTGAGTAATTTAAGAGAATAGAGGTTTGTTCAGCTCATAGTTTAGTAGTTCAGTAGTTCAGGGGCCAGGGCCACATCTGGTGAGGGTCCTCTGGCTGTATCTCAACCGGGTAGAGAGCAGGGATGTGTGCATCTGTGTCTGTGTGTCTGTCTCATTCCCTCACCTTATAAACACACCGGGAGTCAACCATGGAGGCCCTGCCCTGAGTACCTTAATCCTAATGTCCTCTCAAAGGCCCTGCCTCTCAACACTATAGTCGGATTAATTATTTTTTTAATTTTTTTATTATCATCATGATCTTGTTTATATTACATTGGATTGCATATAACTTTACAGTGTATTACATTGCTTTTTCAAAAGGGAATGCCATGCACGTCAGTCAATACAGAGACATGAATCTCCCCACTTCATCATTCAATATTTTTTCATTGTTTTTCCCAATCATTATTATTATTATTCCAATTATTTTTTTTAAACAGTCAATCACTATTTCTCATTTTGCTTGTAAAAAGACTTTACCCATCATGAAATACTTTTCAGACCAATCCAGTTGAGAATACTATACATGTCATCATCAACAGGTAATAAGCCATATCTGTGTCCCACTAACGCCCTGCCTCTCTATTTGTTCTTTTGCTATCTTTTTCTTTATTAATCCTGTCACAACCAAATCTCAACACATGAGTTTTGGGGCAGGGGGGAGGGTGGTTCAATCCCCCTTCACTTCCTTTTTCCTTTCCTGCAAATATTTATTCATTTCATAACTATTGGTTGTTTATTGAACCTTTTCCTGTGGGCAGGCACTGGCAAGATTCTGGGGACACTGCCACCAACAGGACAAGAAAATCCCTGCTCTCTGGGAACCAACTTTCAAGCATGGGGAGAAAAGACAATAAACCCCCAAACAAGCAAAATATTGATAATTTGAAGAACCTAAACACAACACTGTGAAAAATAACAGTGGGGCACCTACTTTAAACAAATTGTCCTTCTCTGGGAAGACAGCATTTAACCTGAGAGGTAAAGGAGGACAAGTAAGGGGAAAAGCGAGGGATGTAGGGGGTCAAGAGGGTGTCAAAGTGACCAGAACCTCATGGACAGAGAGGAAAGTAGCTCTGGGTGAAGCCAGGGAGGTCAACAAGGATCAACCCAGCTGCATCTTGGAGGCCGCGGTAAAGAATGCAGATTGTATTTGAAATGCGATGAGAAGGTCTATGCAGTGAGTTAGCTGCTGCTGAAATTCTCAGGTGAAAAGATGAGGGGGCCTTGACAATGGAGAATGAGCCCGCTGATGAAGCTCAGCACCGCAGAGAGAGACCGCTAGACATATCTGAACAAGCCTCTAGGTCTACCTACCACTTACAGGAAACACTGGGGACAGAGAACAGAACATGTCAAATAGCAAAGTCCAGTCCACAAATGATTCAGTTTGTACGGCAAATTGCAAAGGGGGAAAGAGAGCTGTCGACTAAAAGAGTTAAGAGCCATGTCAGTCAAATGAAATACGGGGAGGGTGATAGATTTTATAATAACTTGACCTTAGTGAATTTCATTCCCATGTCCACACCCCTTTTGCAAGTTAATGTTGCAAGTTAATCCTTTCTGTCAAGAGGTAGAAACTGTTTTTCATTTGCTGAATCTGAGCTGCCCTTGTGACTTGCTTTGGCCAATGAATACCGCAGAAGTGATACGAAAATTCTGGAGCCTGGTCTTAGGAAGCTTGTAGCTTCTTCTCTTGTTCTCTTGGAACCCTGAACCCACCATTCTCTGAAGAAGCCCAGTCCAGCCTCCTGCAAAATGGGAGGCCATGTGAAGAAGGACTGAGACACCTTAGCCAACAGCAAGCACTAACTATTGGCCATGTGAGAAAGACCTTCCAGCCCAGTGGAGCCCTGTCTACAGCCACATGAGTGATCCTAAGGGAGGCCTGCAGAAAGACCACCCAGACTGCCAAGTCACAGTGCCATAACACTAAAGTTTGAATGCTGATATTTTGATGCCAAATATTTGCTAGTATAACATAATTATTAATTTGTTAGATTTGGTCATGATGTGAACACATCTTGTTTTTTTTTTTTAAAAAGTTATTGGGGACAACAGGTGGCTTGATGGTTAAGGCGCTGGACTCCCAAATCACAGTTCAAGTCCCAGTCCTGGCGGCTTGCTTTCTTACTTTCCCTCTCTTTCTCTCTGTCTTTCATTGGTGATTTAAAAAATAATAATAATAAGTAAATATTTATTCAAAAGTTATTATTTTTTAGAGGTACAAACTGAAATATGTATGGAAAAGAAGTGACATCTGTTATTTGCTTTAAAATAGCCCAAAGAGGGACCAGCAGGTGGCATGGTGGTTTAAGGCACTGCACTCCCACATGGCTGACTGTGGTTTGCATCCTGGACCTAGTGGCTTGCTTTATCACTTTCTCTCTCCTCTCTCTCTATCCCTCTCTGGTCAAATTAATAATAATAATAATAATAAAATAAAGTTAAATAAAATAATTATTTAAAAAATAGCCCAAAGAGAGGTAGGGGGTGTGGATAAAACAGGATTGGCCGTGAGTTGGTCATTGTTGAAGACAGTTGGAGTACAGATGGTTCATTGAACTTTATATTCTTGTATCTGTTTACTATAATATTCTCTTTTGTACATGTTTGACATTTTTGTGTTAAAATAAAGATATCTGAGTGCAGGCTTCATAGCACAATGGTTAAGAGAGTCAGATCCCACATGGCCAACCACCATTCACCTAAGAAAGACTGAATCCTAGACTCAGCAACTTGAAAAAGATGCTGGGTGTGAGTGCTTGTGTGCCCAAAATTCTGGGAGAAAGGAGAAGTGGAGGAAAAAGGACTGCAATATGACCACCTCATTGGGGAGTTCTTGTTCTCTCTCTCTGGTGAGCACACCCACACCCTCTGCCAATTAAAAAAAAAAAAAAAGATGTTTGAGCGCAATTGAAAGTCCTTGGAAGGCCTCAGCAAGGGAATATGATGCACCTGAAGTTTCCAAGTCCTTACCTCCACCAGCAGGACCCCTGCCCTCATGCCAGAGGCCGGCTATTATACATGCTGGTCCCTGCAGCCTGGATAGTACCAGCTCGTTGGCCCTACTCCCCACAGCATGTCTAGACTCTTGGTTCCAATCCTCCAGTGGGCCTCTAGACCAGTGGCTAGTGAGCTCTGGGTGTGACAGAAAGACTCCTCAGAGACTCTTTGTCCCCTGAAACGGGCAGCATTTGGCCCCAGAGGAAGACAAGAAGAGAGTTTATGAAACAACATTGTGAGTCACCACAACTAATGACTTCCCAGAAGAGCAGCGGTTGGACACAGAGCTGCTCCCTTCAAAACACGGCTAGTGAAACAACTGAAGTTTGGTCCTGAGTCAGAGACACACAAAGCAGGGTCGACTCTGCCGCATACTTCCTGTGGGTCCTTGAGCAGGTCCTGGGACCTCTGTGACCTGCATTTCAATAGAGCTAATACCTAACCTGCCTGCACTGTGGGGTGGCTCAGGGGTTAAATAAGAGATAGACGCTGGCAGGTGGCATAGTGGTTAAGGGTGTTGGACTCCCACACGGCCAACCGCAGTTCAAGTCCCAGACCTGTCAGCTTGCTCTCTGTCTCTCTCTTCTCTCTCTCTCTGTCTGTCTCTGGTCAAAATTGAAAAAAATAATGATAACAAATAAATAATTCTTTAAAAAAAGGAGAGAGATGGAAATGCTTTGTTAAATACTATACAGATGGAATAGCTAGTTACTTCTTTTTCTTCTTCCTTCTTCTTTTTGTAATTTGCCAGAGAGTATGTATGCTCACCATAAAGAGACAGAGAGACAGAGACAGATACAGAGGAAGAAAGCACTTCCGGTGGGGAGTGGTCACTCTGCAATTCCTCCTCCATCCTCTTGGGACTTGCGGTATGTGTGCGCATGTGCTGGATGTGTTACTCAAGCCTCCCGGTCCAGGACTCGAACCATTTGGTCAGCCATATAGAATCCAGCTACCTTAAGCACTAGACTATGGCCCTCTTTACTGTCTTCTTTTCTTTCACAACTAAAAGTCCATGGAAGAGATGAGGAGGAGGGATGTCAAAGATTCAGGGGGTATATTAGTTGAGTCCCACATAAAAACAGGTGGAGCACTCAGAAGTGTTTAGATGAAGAGGATTTAATGGAAGACTTTACAGAGGGGAGAAAAGGGAGCAGAGGATCAGTGAGGGAGAGTACTCAGGGACAAGCAACCACAGCAAGCCTTTGCCATCGGCAGGCAGGCCTGTTGGTACATGGAGGGGGTCCATGCTACTGTACCCTGGAAGGGACTAGAGCCAAAGAAGAGGAGCCACGCAACAGAGATGATGACCTTTGAAAAAGACTGCTGCTGGCACAACTGGACCAGGCAAGGAAATAGGAAAGAAATTCCCTGTCCTCTCTCTTCTGCCCTTTCATCTCCTCTGGGGCCTCCCATTGGCTGAACCCATCCGGAAGCTAGAGGGCAAGGGGACCTAGGTGATGCAGTCCTTAGAGTTTAGCCTCTGGGGCACAGAGCAGGGCCTAGAAGGATAGAGCCTAGATGTGTGTGCGGGCATCCGTGTGGGTGTGTTGGTAGAAAATACCTGGTATTGGGGAATGAGTCATGGGCAAGATAGGGTGTGCAGAATGAGATCAGGGTTTGAGTGATTGTGGGTTGAAAATCTTAGATCAGCACACCCGGTTATACTTGGAGTTGGCACATGCTTGGGGTACCAGATGAGGGTTTAGCATATAGAAGGTCTCAGAATGGTGAGAAGTCAGTCACCTCTTCTTTACCTGGTCTTGATTCCTATGCTTCTTTGGTCCTAGGGCAGTCCTTCCAGCTTCCCAGTGGCAGCTGGTCCCCAAGTCGGAATGGGAATAACACTGAGACTGCCCACACTGTGAACCTCACCTTCTCGTCCTACTACCAGCACTCGTCCCCAGTGGCAGCCATGTTTATTGTGGCCTACGTGCTTATCTTCCTCCTCTGCATGGTGGGCAATGCCCTGGTCTGCCTCATTGTGCTTAAGAACCGGCACATGCGCACCGTCACCAACATGTTCATCCTCAACCTAGCTGTCAGTGACCTGCTGGTGGGCATCTTCTGCATGCCCACCACTCTCGTGGACAACCTCATCACTGGTGAGTTTGGGCAGTGACAGCATGTGTGTCTCCTGATCCCACCTCTACTTCTCAACCAGGGCGAAGCTTGGAAGACAGGCCTCACTGCTGGGCTGGCCTCCCTACAAAGATGCTATTGTCTCAAACTTCCAAGATAGCGTTGTGGCTGAGCAAGTGGACTAGAGATCATAGATCCAATGAATTAATCATGTTCATTGTGCCAGGCATTATGCTACTTTTCATGTATTATCTTAATGAATCCTCCAGCAATCTAATGACGTATGCATCATTATTAACTCCATTTTATGGATGAAGAAACATGCTCAGAGTAGTCAAGGAATTGGTCAGTAGTCACCAGCTGATGAGTGCAAAGGCCCACATCTTCATAACCTTGGGTTTTATTACTATACTACCCCACGTAACTCCCATGAGCAGAACTAGAACCAGTGGGAAGAAGTGGTGGGGAGGTCCATTTCCACTGAGTAAGCAGGACCTAAGAATTCACTCATTCGTGCTGTTCTTCCATAGAAGAGACTGCCCTGTAAGTAATGAGTTTCCTGTCTCCTGTCTAGAGACTGACCAGCCACTTAGTAGAGAGCTGGTAGAAGGCATTCAGGCAGAACTAGACCACTTGGCCTCTAAATTTCTGCTTGTGCACCCTGCAGATGGCAGAATGATGCCACTGTCATTTACTCTTTTTTTTTTAAAGGAATTATTTAATTTTATTCATTCATTCATTTATTTTAATTTGACCAGTGAGAAATACACATACACACACACACACAGAGAGAGAGAGAGAGAGAGAGAGGGAAAATGAGAACATGAACTACCAGGTCCAGGACTTGAACTGTGGTCGGCCGTGTGGGAGTGTCCAGTGCCTTAATCACCATGCCACCTGCGGGCCCTGTCATTTACTCTTTCTTGTGCAATGGGGCTTCCTGTTTTAGATTGTGGTTCTGCTGATGTGAGACTCTACATGGGTGGGACTGGTTTCCAGAGTTATAAAGATCCCTAAAGATCTGGGCCTGCAGACTTGGAGCTCAGAGCTCCCAGCAGCTCCCAGCAGCTCCCAGGAGCTCTCTGCAGCTTGGTGTTGAGACCAATAGCCGCATTTGCAGTGAGGGGGAGAAGGAGTCATGTCCACCCCAGTCTTACCCTCTCCCTGTATAGTAGCCAATCTCATTATTTTCTGATTTATCTTCCTGTATTTGTTTTGTAATATGAGAATGATAAGTGTATATTTTCTTATGGCAAGATAGGTGTTTATTTATTAAATGAGAAGTGTATAGTTTCTTATGAGAAGTGAGTATTTCTTCAATGAGAAATGAAAAGATAAATATATATTTTCTTAAATCTCCTTCTTTCTTATGCAAAGGGTAATATACTATAGACAGTCTTTGAACTTTGTAAAAATCCCTCCATATCAACCCATAGAGGTCTTAAGTCTTTTTACTTTATAATACTGTAATACATATAATACATACCAGCGGGCCCTGTCATTTACTCTTTCTTGTGCAATGGGGCTTCCTGTTTTAGATTGTGGTTCTGCTGATGTGAGACTCTACATGGGTGGGACTGGTTTCCAGAGTTATAAAGATCCCTAAAGATCTGGGCCTGCAGACTTGGAGCTCAGAGCTCCCAGCAGCTCCCAGCAGCTCCCAGGAGCTCTCTGCAGCTTGGTGTTGAGACCAATAGCCGCATTTGCAGTGAGGGGGAGAAGGAGTCATGTCCACCCCAGTCTTACCCTCTCCCTGTATAGTAGCCAATCTCATTATTTTCTGATTTATCTTCCTGTATTTGTTTTGTAATATGAGAATGATAAGTGTATATTTTCTTATGGCAAGATAGGTGTTTATTTATTAAATGAGAAGTGTATAGTTTCTTATGAGAAGTGAGTATTTCTTCAATGAGAAATGAAAAGATAAATATATATTTTCTTAAATCTCCTTCTTTCTTATGCAAAGGGTAATATACTATAGACAGTCTTTGAACTTTGTAAAAATCCCTCCATATCAACCCATAGAGGTCTTCTTAAGTCTTTTTACTTTATAATACTGTAATACATATAATACATACCACATATGCATAATACTGTAATATAATAATGTGGATGTACCATATTTTATTCAACCATTTCTTCATATGAGTAAATATCATAGGTTAGTGCTAATATTTTGCAATTACAAACAGTGCTAAAATGGCATATGTATTTTATATTGTTGGAGATATATACTCAGGGTAGCTTACCAGAAAGAAAGTGACAGTCAGGTGGTAAAGCCTATGCAGGTATTGTTAGGTATTGCCCAATTCTTCTCCAGCAGGTTGTGTCAGTTTGCATTCCTACCAGCAGTGTCTAACAGTGCTTATTCCTCCACAGCCTTGCCATGGTCATTTGCATTTTTAAAAATTATAAATGAGGTCTGAACATTTTTTCCATATGGTTAAGGGCAATTTTCAGATCTCTTTTGTACATTGTTTATGTCTTTTCATACTTTTCTGTGTTTTCAGTCCTTTGCCCTTCGATTTTTATGAGTTGTTCATACATTGGGGTAAAGGCAATTTGTGGTATATGTTGTAAATATTTTCTCTCAGGCTGTCAGTTGTGTCTTTGACTTTTTTTTTTTTTTTTGCTATGCAATTAAAATATTTCATACAGCTCTATTTATCTATGTTTACTTTTATTGCCTCTGGATTTTGAAACATAATTAAAAAGCCTTTCCCTATACATTGGTTAAAGAAAAACACACCCATTGTTTTCCTAGTACTTGTATAGTTTTTTAAAAAGAATTATTTATTTAATTTTATTTGTTATTATCATTTTTTAATTTGACCAGAACAGACACACATAGAGAGAAAGGGAAAGTGAGAAAGCAAGCCGCCAGGTCAGGGACCTGAACTGCAGTCAGCTATGTGGAAGTCCAGCACCTTAACCACTATGCTACCTGCCAGCCCCAACTGGTACACTTTTATTTTTTGCATTTAGGTCTCTACTCCACTTGCAGTTTGTCCTTATGTATGATGTGAGACATGGATCTAATTTTATCTCATTTCAAATGACTACCCTATTGACAGTGCACCATTTATTTAAAAGTCAGTCTTTGCCATAGTGGTTTCAGATGCCATCTTTATCATGTACTGATTTCTACTGTGCATGAATATATTGCTGGGCTTTCTATCCTGTTCTAGCCCATTTGTCTATTTATGCACCTGGTTTAATTATAGAGGTCTGACAGTCTATCTTCATGTCTGGTGGGCTGGTGCCCCCTCATATTTTTTCTGTGCCAGGATTTTTCTGTGTCAGCATTTTGCTAGTTATCCTTGGGGCTATCTCATTAGTTTAAGCGGATGGTTTTGTGTCCGAGATCCCACTCTGTTTCTTACTTTTTCACTCTGCCTTCTAGTCGTGTTGCCATGTGTGCATCTGATCTGTTGCTTCTAGTTGCTGCCTGGTACTCCCTGATGTGCGTCTACCACATTCCACCCTCCAGTCTCCCAGGGGTGGACAGCAAGTAGCCTCTACCTACTAGGGAAGGAGAGCTGGCTCACAAGAGCCAACTGTGCACATTTCTTCTCAACTGCCTGTGCTTAGTGACATCAGGTGGTTACTTTGAACTTTGTCCCGTAGGGAGATTTACACCACAAAAAAGTGGCAGATACAACCAACCAGGTGTTTTGTTTTGCTTTGTTTGTTTGTTTGTTGTGAACTGCCTCCAACTCCATCATTACAAATAGCAGTGATTGCAGTGCTTTCTGGCCCATAGGGGGCATATCTTTGGGATATGAACTGAGGAGAGGCGTTGCTGGGTCAGAGTTGCACATACATGTTTTGCCAGAACAGAACCAGCCTGCTGTCTGTAGCAGTGCTGACTTGCCATGGCACTTACTCCCCCACCCTAAGGCCTGACCCTCACCAGGAGTCCATAATGATTTAGCCGTGGAGAGACTAATGAATCTTCCCCTCAGTTTTCTCACCTACAACCGGGATGCTAATAGTGGGGTTGTTGTGAGGACTGAATTTGTGCCTGGTACTTAGTAACTGCGTAGCCAGAGAAATCACTGGTGAATGTAGAGAATGCCTCCCTAGTGGTCAGAACCATCCTTGTGGTCAAGGGCTGGTCAGTTCCACATTGTTGGAAGTGTGCAAACAGAGGCTGGATGACCTCCAGTGGGACATGGAGGAAAGATCTAAGCTTCAGAGAGCATCTGGCTTAGATGGCCTGAGGTCTCTACTTCTTGGGGGGTTGGCATCTCTGACTCTGTCATTGCAGGGTGGCCCTTCGACAATGCCACGTGCAAGATGAGCGGCCTGGTGCAGGGCATGTCCGTGTCCGCCTCTGTTTTCACGTTGGTGGCCATCGCTGTGGAAAGGTAAGACGTTTCCTGGCTGGATTATCCCTGGGCCAGCTGGGCCCAGCACTAAGAGGAGCCACTGCTGCAGTGCTGGGCTGGCTGGATGGCTGGTGCTGCTCAGGGCGGGCCTGGCTGAGTCCTGAGCCACAGAGGGACAGGGCATAAAGCCAGCTGTCCTCTAGACATGGGGGACCTGCTGAGGACACCACTGCTTCCTCTGGCAGACCTGGAAGCAGCTCCTAAGGAGGTTTGGTTGGGATTTCTGAGGCTGGCGAGGAGTTTGAGGGCAGTCTTTGTTTTCTGGGTAGCAGGAGTGCTGCTATGGGTAAGCCTGAGCCAGGGGGCCAGGCCCAGCAGAGCCAGTTCACAGGGTGAGTTTGATATGACTGGGGATGGAAGGGTTCTGCTGTTCCTTCATTCTACCCCACAACCCCCTTGCTGGTTCCTGGCAGCAAAGGCCTTAATCCCTCGCTCAACCCATCGCTGGCCACTGTGATATTTTGACTTCAGATTCCACCAGATAAGCCTGGATGTGCTTATGTGGCCACAGGTATGAAAGACAGCTGGGGTCATGAGGCTTGCAGACAACAAAGCCCTGAAGCTGTGAATCTTCCCCATTGCACTGCAATATGTCCCCTCACCCTTAGCATCTTTAGTGAAGAGGGCTCTCTCTGGTGCTTTGCCCCAGGGAACAGGAGGCAGGCAGACAAGCTGGAGGTTTTAGTCCTCATCACCGCCTAGCCATCTGATGTTGGGTAAATAGCTTAACTACTCTGAGCTTCTGTAGTCACCTCTCTAAAAATGGTAAATAACCTACTTACCCATTTCACAGATGGCAAATCGTGATCAGGAGGCTTCAGTGAGCTTCTGCTTTCTATACTTTTTTTTTTTTTTTAAGTTTCTTTCTTTCTTTCATGAGAAAGAGAGAGAAACAGACAGAGAAAAAGACAAGGACCTTCCATGGGATCACATGGCGCAGTCCTCTCCTAGCCCTCACAGCCAGCCAGGATCAAGGGCACACACACGTGCACCAGGCATGTACAGGCCGACTCAGGAACCAGAGACCAGTTTTCTATATGGCTTCAGCTTTGTGGAGCAGCATGCTACCATCAGGCCACCATGGCTGGGCCCGAGCTTCTGCTTGTGACATGTTTGCACAGTTCCTGGCTCAGAGTTCAAATGTCAGCGCTTAATATTATTATCTTTCTTTCAAACACCCACAACCTCCTCTTTGTCCTCTCCCCAGCACAGGCGCTTCTTATCCTGCCCTTTCCAGAATCCAGTGCTCATTTGCTCTCCACTTCTGCTCCCAGAGGTGGAGAGAGAATTTTTGTAAAAACAAAACCAAAAAAACCCAGAATTTTTAAAACCCACAGAAATAGGCAGCTGAGTTCCTTTCTGTCTACTAATTAGTTGAGTGACTGGCAAAAGTCCTTGACCTTTGTTTCATTATCTTTGTCAAATAATTGGAGAATGTCTAACTGCTCTCACAGTTTTCAAGTCCCACCTCCTCCAGAAAACCTTCCTGGACTACCCCAGGATTCTCCTCCACCCATTAACTACTTTCACACTTTACAGTCAATACTATGCACTTTAAAAATTGTTTGTTTTCTGGAGATTTCCTTTTCTTTTTATTTTTTTAAAGAAATTTTTGCTATAGGGTGCATGCACTCATCAGAGAGACAGAGAGACAGAAAGCGAGATATCACCCCTGGGGGATGGCCACACTGCAATCCCTTCTCCTCCATTTTCCTCTCAAGATTTTGGGCATGAGTTTTAGGCCAGGACTCAAACTGAAATTCACTACGTGGGAGTCCAGTGACGTAACCGTTACACCATCCCATCCACTGGTCCCGTCTCTGGAGATTCCTTGAGTGTGTGACACTGCGAAGCTAGAAGGGCAGAGTCCTACAGGCAGAGACAAGAAAGCTTGAGTCAGGCTGTTGGCTGGGAAAGGGTGGGTAGCAGGAGGGCAGGGCACAGCGAAGTGGAAAGGGCACTTGGTTGGACGCCAGCTCTACACCTGGATTTTAGTGCATGCTAAATAGCCCTATACCTCCTTCCTACACGAATTAGATTGGAATCTTCAGCCCAGGGAAATAGTTTTTTGTTTTGTTTTTGATGTTTTATGTGTCAAGAGTGTCTAATGCATAGTAAGGGTTGATGGCACGGGCCTATGTGGCATAGCAGAGCGAGACACATCTGGGCTCAAGGGTGGTCTGGGCTACTTGCTAGCTGTGTGCCCTTGAGTCAGTTGCTAACACAACTCAGTCCCAATTTCCTCATCTATAAATTAAGGGTAAAAGAATAATTGTGCTGGGATGTTTTGCCAAGGGAATGAATGGGGCAGATTTGTCCTAACCTGGTGGAGGTACTAGGACACTGGCCAAGACGACCCTGGCAGCTCGTCACATAGGCTCTATCTGTGACCTCCCAAGGTTTTCTGGAGAATCCATAAATAGCTAAAAGTTGTATTCTTTGGTACCCCTAATCAGCCTACTTAAGGACAGAGTGCCCATTTAGTCAAAAATATTTGAAAAAAATATCAGTTATTCAAAAATATTTCTGGGCTTCATCTGTGAAATGGCACAGAGTGTCCGGGCTGCTCTGCTGGCTGCTGGCTAATCAGTACACAGATTCATTATTCCCACACTTGGCACTCTCTCTTTCAGTTGAGCAAGGATGCATGCGCTCACCAGAGAGACATTGAAACAGGGAGAGAGTGGGAAAAGCAGCCCCAGTGAGGCGTGGTCACACTGCAATTCCTTCTCTCCCACTTCTCCACCCAGTTGGGATTAGGGGCATGCACACACATATGCCCAGCGCGTTCTTCTCAAGCCGCTGGGGCCAGGCTCCAGGCTGGTCTCGTCTCTCCCACCGTACACTCTCCACTCTCTCTCTCTCTCATGTCCTGTTCTGCGCCCTTGTTCCTTGCCTACTGAGTCAGACGAGCAGCTCCTCCATGGGTGACACCAGGTCCCTTGCAAACGATCTCGCTGACGTCCGAGTTGTCCCTCGCTGCTACTTAGGTGCTATGAGCAAAGTCAAGTCCACATCCCATCTGCCTGCAACCTGGCTTAGCTCTTCTCACTGCGACCCTAGACCCGCCCAGACCCTGCCTCTCTCTCTCCCGGCTGCAGGTTCCGCTGCATAGTGCACCCTTTCCGGGAGAAGCTGACCCTGCGCAAGGCGCTGATCACCATCGCGGTGATCTGGGCCCTGGCGCTGCTCATCATGTGCCCGTCGGCGGTCACGCTGACAGTCACGCGAGAGGAGCACCACTTTATGGTGGACGCCCAGAACCGCTCCTACCCGCTCTACTCGTGCTGGGAAGCCTGGCCGGAGAAGGGCATGCGCAAGGTCTACACTACCGTGCTCTTCTCGCACATCTACCTGGCGCCCCTCGCGCTCATCGTGGTCATGTACGCCCGCATCGTCCGCAAGCTCTGCAAGGCGGCTGGGCCGGCGCGCCCCGGCGAGGAGGTGGACAGCGGGCGCGTGGCCCAACGCAAGGCACGGGTGGTGCACATGCTAGTCCTGGTGGCGCTATTCTTCACGCTATCCTGGCTGCCGCTCTGGGCGCTGCTGCTGCTCATCGACTACGGACAGCTCGGGGAGCCGCAGCTGCACCTGGTCAGCGTCTATGCCTTCCCCTTTGCCCATTGGCTGGCCTTCTTCAACAGTAGTGCCAACCCCATCATCTATGGCTACTTCAATGAGAACTTTCGCCGCGGCTTCCAGGCCGCCTTTCGGGCTCAGCTCTGCCCACAGCAGCGGGGGAATCACAAGGTGGCCTACTCCGGGCGGCCAGGAGGGCTCCTACGCAAACGGGTCTTCGTGGAGGTGCAGCCCAGCGACTTCGGCCTGCCCTCTGAGTCCGGCCCGAGCACTGGGGTGCCCCGGCCTGGCCGCTGGCTGCTGCGGAATGGGCGTGTGGCCCACCAGGAGGATCCTGGCTGCTCCCATCTGCCCCTCACTACACCTGCCTGGGATATCCGAGGTGGTCCAGGGAGGGCAGGCCCCGGCCTGAGGGTCCTGACGGGATGTGCACATGAGAGCAGCCTGGTGTGGAGTTAGATCACCATGATGTCCCCCTTCTCTTAACCAAGGCAGTGGGCACAGTCAGTGATGTCTCCCTATTTCCTTCACCCTATGGTGGAAGCCAGGCAGAGGAAAGGGAAGGAGCTGACATCTCCTGAAGCCTTCTATGTGGTAGGTGTGATAAACACCATCTCACCACCTTTGGAAATAGGTTTTCTTTTTTTTGCAGAGGTTTTTGTTACAGGGTGTGTGTGCTCACCAGAGAGACAGAGAGAGACAGAGAGACAGAAAGCAAGAAATCACCTCCCAGTGGTGTTGGCCACACCACAATCCCTTTTCCTCCATTCTCCTCTTGGGATTTTGGGCACGCATGCACACATGCCCAATGTGAGTTTAAGCCACTGGGTCCAGGACTTGAACCACGGTCGACTATGTGGGAGTCCAGTGACATGGCCATTATGCTAATTGCTGGTCATGGAAATAGGTTTTCTTATCCCCCTTCTACAGATGCAGAAACTTAGGCTGGGAGAGGAACCATGACTAACTCATGGTCTTAGCAGGAAATCCCATGCAAGCACAACTGTCTGACTCCAAAGCCTGTATAGTTTTGTACTATCCTTAGCTGTCTCCAAAAGGGTCCTGTGAGGTGGAGCACCCTGGAATCTGTAAATCTTAATCAGGCAGCTGGGAAGAGGCAGAGCAAAGCCTGCCCGCCCTCGATGATTTATGTCTACGTCCTGGAGTTCCTCTGCTCTCCCTTGCGCCGACCTTCCCTGGGCGAACGTGGCGCAGTGCTCCCACCAGCTGTAATGTGTTGGTTTATCAAGATTGTGGCAAACGGTGTCCAGGGCCTTTAGAGAAAGATCATCACTGAGCAGCTTCTGCAGGCGCCCTGGGATTCCTGCTTCAGTGGCCGAGTGCTCTGGGTCTTTCCCTTGAATCTGAGTCTAGAATTGGGAGAAGGGGACCCTCCCCCCTGCATCACCCCCAAGGCCTCCCTTCCCTCTTTCCTGTGTGGGAGAAGGGGGCCAGTGCAGATTGCAGCTGGATGTCCTTTGGGGACTCCTGAAAAACAAACACTAGCCTCTCACTGTACCATAAAGAAGGGCAAGTCCAGGACATTCCTTGTTCCCTTGGCCTTCTCCCTGCACACCTGCATTACCTTGAAGGCGTGGGGCTTTTCTCCAGGAGATGTGAGGGAGTGAGGCTGCCTCAGTGATCTCTGCACAGCCCCTATAACTAGCCAGTTCCCACCTCATCTCTACAGAAAACATGGTGTGGCTAGATAACTAGTGAATAGGAAAGAAACCCTTTCAGGAATCAAGGCTCTGAGCCTCTGATTGTTTCTTTAATTGACCCACAATGATTTAATCCTGTTTATTCCACTCTAAGTACCCAATGCAGAAGCAGGAGAAAATTCCTGAGCAGTCCTACAAGTAGTCCCTGGACACTGTCTCACTTGATCCTTACCAACAAGGTTGAAGGGCATGTTGTTATGGCCATTTTACAGGCAAAGGAACTGAGGCTCAAAGGAGCCAGGGTTGCAAGGCTCCAGAGGGGTAGGGTTTAGATTGGAATTTGTCTTTTTTTTTAATTGCCAGAGGGTGTGTGCGCACACCAGAGAAAAACAGCAGTGGGGGATGGTGGGGAGACCAATGTGTCCCTTAGTGGGATGTGACTACGCTGCAATCCTTTCTCCTCTATTTCTCCATCCTGTTGGGATTCTGGATACACATGCACACATGCCTGGCTGTAGAATTTGTCTTCTGATTGTTCTTCCCACTCTGCATCCTGCCATTCAAAGAAGGTGGGCGTGGCTGTGAGGAGAAATTCCCCAGAGGTGTTCTGCCTAATAGTGAACCAGTGCCAATGGAACTAGGATCCCAGAGCCCAAGCCTTGGTCTGGAGAATGAGTTTACTTATCTACTGTGTTTACTTATCATTCCCAGCCTGAGCTGTTCTGAGTATGTCTATACCCACATGCTGAGAGGCTGCCGAGATCCATCATGACCCTGTCCCCGTCGTGATGGAGTCTGGGGGTGACCGATGAGGGCTTCAGAGAGGGTGGGCTATCCTCCCTTGAGTGATGTTAGCTGATTCCATGTATACTCCTCTTTGTGGTGCTTGTACCTGTGTCACGTGTCATATGATCAGAGTTTCAGGCTGTGTACTGTGAAGAATTCTGACTCCAGGCTCTAAACATAGGCCAAAGGGCCACCTCAAACCCCAAATGCCTGCCCCTACAGTGGGGTGGATCCATCTGGAGAGACCGCCTGCCTCTCCTCTGGGTGTGTTTCTCCTTTAGCATGGTCTCCCCAAGCACCAAATTAGAGCCTTTACAGAAAGGGGAGCAGGAGGCCAAGGCACTCACCCAGGCCAAGCAAGTCCACCTTTCCATCAAGGCATCCTGTTTCATTCTCCTCAAAGACGCATGCTTTGAAAGGTTGTGACTGCCAAAACAACCACAACAACAGCAGAAAACCGAACGACAAAACCCAAACCAAAAAGCCAAACCAAAACAAAGCAAAACCCTGCATAGGTCACAATTTATACATTTTGCCGTTATTTTTATTTCTTTCACAAAATCAATTAGATACTGTGCCTGCCCATTTGGTGATCTGATCTGAACAATAATGGGCATGACTTGATGCTTTAATGCAGCAGTGACGCCTTGTGGGTAAGTGGGGAGTTTGTGTCTTTGAGTATGTGGTAAAATACAAGGAGTCTTCAAAAAGTTCATGTAAGATGTGTATTGTGAAAAAGCTGTGATTTTCTAATTTTTTGGCATCAAACTCGTACTATAATTTTAGTTTTTCATAAAATTTTTGAAGTCTTTGTGTATATACAACATGTATTTACCATTTTAACTGTTTTTATGTGTAATATTTGGTACCATTAAATATATGCACATTCTTGGATAACCATTACCAGCGTTCATTTCCAGAACTTTTTTATCATCCTGAACTGAAACTCTTTTTAAAAAATAATTATTTTATTTAACTTTATTTATTTATTTATTTATTTTAATTTGACCAGAGAAGGACACAGTGAGAGAGTAGGAGAGTGATATAGACAAAGAGAGAGGAAAAGTGAGAAAAATAAAGAGAGAGAGAAAGAGAGAGGGAAAGTGACAAACCAAGCCACCAGGTCCGGGACTTGAACCATGGTCTGCTATGTGGGAGTCCAGTGATCTTAACCACCATGCCACCTGCTGGCCCCCAAACTCTTTTTTTAAGAAATAATTATTTATTTAACATTATTTATTTGTTCATTTACTTATTTTAATTTGACCAGAGAGAGACACAGAGAAAGCAGGGTGCTAGGTCTGGGACTTGAACCGGGGTTGGCCATGTGGGAGTCCAGTGCCCTTAACCACCACCCCACCTGCTGGTCCCTATGCATTAAACAATAATTGCCCATTCCCTTCCTTCTAGCCCACCATTCAGTTTTCTGTCTCTGAATTTGACTACTCTAGGTACCTCATACGGACAGAATCATAAAATATTTATCCTTTTGTGACTGGTTTCTTTCCACTTAGAGTCACATCTTCAAGGGTCATTCATGTTATGGTGGGTATTAGAATTGCCTCCTTTTTAAGACTGAGTAATCTGTTGTATGTATATTCCACATTTTGTTTATCTATTCATCGTCAATGAGCTTGGACCATTTCCACCTTCTGATTTTTGGGTGCAGGTGTTAGATGCTGAAGGTAGTCCCTGAAAACAGTGCCAGTGTGAACCCTGAGGACTGATACCGCAGGTTGGAACCAAGATCTCTCCCAATCTGACTGCTCTGTCATTCATACGTGTCAGATCACAGGTGACAGAGCAGAAACTCTAAGGAGAGCTGTGATTGGTCTTACTCCCTATGCCTACTCCAACTGCTATGAGTTTCTGCTGGGCTTTACGTGACTCAAGTGGCCCATAGGATGATATTTTTATGACGCTGTTTTTTAACTACTGCTTTATTATCCTCACTGGATTCCTGTGCCCTGTCCCTGGACCACGTTGGGGACCTTGTGCAGCCAAAGGCAAGCAAGGTGGACTTCTCCAGACGTGCCATCCTCTGTCTACAGTTGATCGGGTCTCCTAAGGTGACTGCCCTTTCACAGGCAGACAGTTCAAGATGAGTTGGATGTGTGATGGGGGAAAAGGGCCAGACGCCTGTTGACACTGAGTCCCTCCACCGCAGAGGGGCTCTTGGAGGGACTCCGAGTCCTGTCCTGCCGTGTGCAACATAAGTTCTCATCACGTTCTCCACTGATGAATGGCCTCTTGACTTCACCAAGACCATGCAGCGCCCAATAGACCAATACGAGTTGGAGGCGGGTACCCGGCCCAGACCCCACAAACCACAGTCTGCCCAGCCCTATGCTGAGGACTTTCTGTTGGGGCTTGGAGGACGCATGAGTTGACTTGGTTGGAATGGAGGGTGGAGTTGGCAAAGAAGGATGAGAGCCCCCCTATCATTAGTCTACTGTGTATTCATCCAGAAATCCAGGTGAGAGCCAAACTGAGGGCTGCAGGGACAAAGCATTGCTATTAAGCTCTATTCCTTTTTGCATTCATTTCCTCAGCTCACCCCTCAGAAGTGCCACTGAGGAAAGATAGATGAGAAGGAGGTGACCCAAATGGGCTTCATTACAAGCAAACAATGTTGAATCGACAATAGATTCCTTGTTAAATAGGCTGATTATTTATGTTCATGGCATTTTATTGTTATTTTTTTCTCTCTCTACAAAGACACTACATAATTACTGTAGACATTTTACAGAAGATAGATAAGCAAAGATGAGAAAATGAAAAGCACCCAATCCCACCATAATTGATAAGCATAGAGTAATATCCTATGTACGTATACCTTAATATTTAATCATGCTGTAACATTACTAGCTTTGAGACAATTTGTAAACAATAAAGCTCATCTATCTTTTGTGAGCAGTTCAAAGAATTTTAACAAATATAATACAGTTATGTAACCACCACCACACTCAGAATATTGCCATCATTCCAAAAGTTCACTATGTCAATTTATAG